AAATGTGCTCTCGGTAGGCGTCGGACAATCATTCAGGACAGAAAAAGGCTATCTACCCAATCGGTCTTTCTGCCCTATATGATAATTTTTAAAGCAATTGATCAACGTATAATATATCGCAAGTTCAAAAATATGTTTCGGAGAACCGTCACAATTTCATGATTTTTTGTCTTACTTGTTTCATTTTGTTTTGTTTTATAGCAACTTTTTACTTTTTCTGAGTATTTTTTCAAGTGAAGTCGCTACTTGAAGATAAATGGCTCCCAAAAGCCTTTCATATATGAGAAATCGGACTTTGATCTTTGAGTATGACCAATTTTCCAATTGTAAGGCGCGTTACTAGCAGCTCTTCTGTTCTTTTGAGGAGGCGTATTTTTTACATGTGATGAAAAATACCTATAAGTATCTGTAATTTTTACACGACAAAATCAAATTTGCAAAAAGATGCGACGAGCAACCAGTATCCATAAAGTTTTTTTCTAATAGGCAAAGTTTACAAATCTACTAATATCAGCTTAGACCATTTTTTGTCCCCTAGTTTTGTTCATTTTTCCAATGAGAAAAGCACCAGAAAACCTCTAAATCATCTTTGAAAAGCGCGTTTTCGGAAGAATGAAATTGATATAACGGAATACATTGAGTTGCTGCTGCGTCTGGTCTAGTTCAAATACTAAAATTAAATTTATTTGTGTAACATTAGCCTATAATGTCAGAAGCATTACCGTGTAAATGCCAGGCAAATATTAAGCTTCAACAGCTATTCGATTGACTAAAACTTGACGGAAATATCTGCAGCAAGCGTAATTGAATGCGTGTGAATTTTTGCATGTTTGATAACTTGAGATAGAAACACTTGAGAAAATTTATTGGAATTTATCTTTCACTTCATAAATCATTGTCTAGATATAAGAATTACATTACATATGAGAAGAAGAACACCATGTTGAAGTAAAACTCTTATCTCTTTCTGTACTTTACATAGAGAGAAAATAAAATTCAAAATTCCTTTCTTCTCTTTCGCCTCCTACGGATTTGTTTGTTTTCGCGGGTTTCTCACATTGATTAAATTTTCCTTTGTTAATCTATTTCTTGTAAATTGTATTTCTACAGCTTACGCATCACCGTTTTAGTGCAGACAATGCGTAAATTATAGGAAACGCACATCACGAGAAATGGACACTAAAGTTTTAGGTCATTTCCCTTTCTGCCACAAGCACTTTTACTCCAGTAATCTGATATCAACTGACAACTAAAGAAAATATAGGAAAGTGATTATGGGATCGGCCTCTTCTGTCCCGCATTCGCTAAAGTTAGAAGCGCCTTTGTAGGGCGACAGGGCATGTTTTTGTTTTTAGAGATTAAAGGTGACGTTGAGTCGACCTAGATTCTATAAATGTAGGTGCCTTCCTACCTCTAAATAGGGCAATGGGTTAAGTTTTACTAAATACAAATCTGTATTACACGTTGCAAATGGTTTAAACCATTTTATAATACTGTTAATTGTATTTAACAGCACATATGGAACATTGAAGGGGAAATTATATTTATTATTAATGCAGTTGCACCCAGGCAATAGCGTTTTATTGCTGCGACTATATCGAGAAAGTCGTAAAGATTTCTACACCATTTCATGCCAACAATGGATTTTAGTTGAATTCATGTTTTTATTTGCTAGCTGTTAGGTTGATTAATTTAAAACCGTTGCAAACCCTTTTCCAATGTTATGAGAACGTATTTCAACAGACTTTTATCAACCGAAATGGGGTTGATTAAAAAGTGAATGTTTCATTTTTTTGCAACTGGCGCCACTTCGTGATGGTGCCATAAATTTCCAGTTTCGGTGAAAAGTGAAGAGATGAAAGGGCAAATTAGGCCGCCACAACATCAAGCAACCTACAAATCACTTGCAAACCCGGGCTATCAAGTTTCACACTTTTTTGAGCGGCATAAGGCACCTGCTGCAAACAAATATTTTTGCTTTCCAAAGAAAAATTAATCAATTAATTTTTGACTTGAACCAGAAACTTTAAAAAATAATAATTGAAATTAGCACGTTGAAATAGAAAGAAACTGGGCGAGTGTGAAAGTGAAATTATTTCATGTCTTGGAAAATTAATCATGGTACAAATTGCAGCTTTGGAAGCTGCAATTCTGTAACTGTTTCGTTATTTGTTTTGTTTGTATTCTTATGCAGCTTTGTAGGAGTTTGTAACGGATCTTCAGGACGATGAAAATTTACGAAATGTTTCAACAGAAACAATAGTTGAAACAAACAAAAATACGCAATTACACACGAATACAAATATATAGAATTTCGACAATAGTTCGGAAATTGTATATAAATTAAGGTGAGCGTACAAACGCTTTAAAACATACAACAATTTTTCTTTCTAGTGGCTCTAGAATTTACTGCATTTTTGTTTGTTCTAGGATATCTTTTCCTGATGTCCCAAACTTTTCTTCAAGCTGTTCGAATTAAAGGTTGGTGAAGTATTTCAATTATTTTTTATATAATTCTGTACCGTTTATCTCTTCGCACTTCTTGATTTGTCTGAATCTCTCGCCTCTGGACCTTCTTGCCGATTTAAGAAATCAAAAATGTATTTAAAGCCTCAAAACTTTGTATTGACTCAAAAATATATTTTGCCGCGAGATTAGAGAGAATCCTGAATGTTTCGGGCGTAAAGTTTCAAAGAAAATTAGTTAAAAGTTAAATTGTACGTGTACTGTGATTTCAACATTTTATTCTATAAGAAAGTTCATGTTCAGTTTAGTTTTCAACTGGCTGAGCAGTGAAATGTGAAAGTGAAAACACCACAAATAATTGTAATCGCTTTGGAAGTATTATAGATATTTATACAAGGAATCAAGCAAAAGAGTCACATTTTCGTGGTTTGTTCGGTGCAGCAACCACCTTTGAAGAGGCAAACCACTGGTGCTTGCGAAACGCCAGAAAGAAATAATTTTCCACGACTGCCAAATAGCCCGAAAAATGTATCAGTTTTATAAATAGAGTCCGCATTAAAATGCACTGAAATCCTCGAAAAAAGCGCTAAAGAAGCAAGTTGCTTTCTCACAAAAAGCAAAAAAAGCACAACAAAAACGCATACGGCCTATAAATCCGGACTCTATTTACAACAAACCGAGTTTAAATTGCATGTTGAACGGTTTATATATTTCGGAAACTAGCAATTAAAATTGTTCAAACTCAATAACCAAATAACCCCTGCAGAAGAATAACCCAATGCTGAGACACCCGGTATAGCGTATAAAATAAAGTCCCACAAGACAATAGGTCTGATTAGGCAGCCATGATACTTTGAATATATTAAAAGTGTGATTTTTCGGAACAGCAAATAAATACTTTCGAATTGGATTTGTTCCACAAGGTTCTGGCCAATAGAACCATTCCAGATTTTTAATTGCTTCCACCCACCGAGATTTCGAAATCGTCATTGGTCCACTGAAAAGATAACCGTCATCCTTAGACACTAATTAGGTGACATCCTGTCTGGGCAGATCTTTGAAAAATCTGGGAACATGTAATTACTTTAACAAATTTTCGTTTAGTTGTGTTGGAAAGTTCATAGTTTCGTGACAAGTGCTTGAAGAGGATCGTGTGTGCTGGGAAGACTGAAATAAATTCAGGCCAAGTACGATTTAAAAAATATTTATTAGCTTTTTTTCAATTTAATTTGCTCAATTTCTGTCTTCAGATTATTTGAATAATTCTTGTTCAGTGCAATCGAATATGAATTTGGCCGTTCCCGAACTAAAAACTGAACTAAGCTCCTTCGATTATGAAGACACATATTCATTTACCAATAGAAACAGCGAAGAAATTAGCAATTCCAATGCAAGCTGCTCGGATTATCACGAATTTCCTGGATCCATGGAAAATTGTCAAACCCAGATGAATTCAGTTCGTTCTGAGTTCAGATTCATTGAAAACTTTCAACAAATCCACATGCAGAATTACTGGAACTTTCAAACGCAGTGGTTTCACAGTGATGAAAACAGATCTAGTGCAAGTGAAAGCCCAATTAAGCATGATCCAGTTTTGGAGGATTTTCGAGATCAACACTTTGAAGTAAATGAGGAGGACACAGAAGGGTTGGAAATGCAGCAAAAGGGCGGTTTGGAAGCTGCAACGACTGAGGACTCGACGAAATCTCATGGTAAGCGTTTGATTGGGTTTATTTGCAAAAGTGTTCATTTTGAGTTTATTTGAGTTTATATGAGTATTTTCATAATTCTGGGGTTGTGATAAATCGTTTTCTTCTTGCTCATTATGCTACAGCTGAAGCATTGAAAAAGAAAGGAGCTTCTTGCGTTATCTGGAACCTTCGTTCTTTATTTAAAAGTTAAAAACGAGGATGGAACTTTTACTTTCATGTGTGTACAGGGCGTTTCTATTATTTGTCCTCCAATATCGCCTATAGAAGATAAAGTTTTTGTTTTTTATGTTTGCGTAGCCTTCCCCGGAATTAAAAAAAGAAAATTTTAATAAATTTAAGGCGAAAAGTGTGACTGGTCATAAAAAATGAATATCGCTCCAACCTACTCAGAAGACGTGAGATTTTAACATCGTATACTCTATTTCTCTCCCATACTCCCCGCAGATATATATAAAACTGACACGCTATACAATACGTTTTTTTAATTTTTTTGCCTTATCTTATAACTTCAATTTTGTGCAAGAATAGGACTATGATTTGACCAAAAAATTGTTCAAACCGATTGAAAAAATCGATGGACACATGGATTTTATATTCAACATTTTGATGCAGAAGAACAAGACAAAAATCATTATTTGTACACGTAACTAAAACGCTTTTCATGTTTGTATTTCGAACTGTACTTTTGAACTTTTTCTTTCTTTAAATAAATCTAGTTTCGTTGTTTTTAATGAATGATACAAAAGAGTTTAGCCCCAATGAATGTCGGTCACCTGAAAGATAGATTATATGGAAAACGAAAGCCCTTATAATGGCTCCCTTTACTGGGAATCCAATTTATAACTAGTGCAAACACACCCAGGGCGCTTTCTGCAATCTGCAACTAAAAATAAAGCAAATGTCATCGCAGGTTTAAAAACGAGCTTTTGTCATGCGATCATAAAGCCTGGAGGCAGTATAAGTAGAGTTTTATTTGCAATTTTTCTTAAGTGCGAATGTTACTTCACTGGCAATCAAATAGAAATGGATGTACATAGAATACTCCACTTTGGTGCCTCCAGAGTAATATCAATTATTCCTATTTGAGCCCTTACATATTAATTAACAATTAGAAGAGAACCACTATAATGTTGCTAAACAGTTTTTGCAAATAATATAAAAACAACTTAATTTTTCATGAAATAGCATCGGCAAATTTCTGTAGCACGAAAGCCATTGGTGACTGGAACATCTGTTTCCGAAGTGTTGTTCAAACCTCTTGGCGTTGTTGTTTTTACAAGCTCTAATTTATGTGTTTAGCTTCCTTTCAGAAAAATATAGGTAACAGGATACCTTTATAATCGCCATGGAGTGTACGCTATTTATTATTTCTTCTGTTAAGAGGGCGGGCTTTTTAACATAACAATATCAAAACTCTGAAGCCGACATGTTTATTACAGCACAGAATAAGGCTGAGATTATAATGTGCTTATTTTTGCAAATTTCCATACTAGACTAATGACTCTGATTTATTAAAGGCTTAAGGAACATTAGCAAGAATGCAAGTTACAGTGCAATTTAGACCAGATGGAATCTCTTTCCCGAATCGTTTAGCACTATTATCATCACAACCTTGTCGTCGGATGCAATTTCTTTGATCTCGAAACGCACTTAACTATACAAAAATTGGGGAACTTTTAAGCTGAAAATTGCACACAAAATAGGTCAAGAGGTTAGCAAAGAAATATTAATGAAAGTAGAAAAAAGAGCAATCGAAGATTAACAAATACACACAGTTTCTTTTTGAAAAATAACGGTATTTGCAATTTGTATCAAAGAAGATTAGAGTGAACTAAAAAAAAATTGGCAATATTTTTGTATATTAATTATATGATTATTATTGATTTGAAAACTTTAACTGATTTAAACTTTAAAAAATCAAATTCTACATGTTCCGAGATACTTCCATGATGGCAGAAACGCAATTTTGTAATCGTCTTTAGTAATTTTCCATAAAACCTAAAAAAGGAATTTCATTAAATTCATCCATAATTCTATGCTTCAGGTCATAGGAGTCGTTGGGAAAAGCCAAGCATATTTTCTTCCTTCACGTAATTCCTCATAAATAGAAATCGCACCGAGTCAAATCAGGCAATCGGACAGATTGCTTAAAAACTCATCATTTATCTTATTATTCATCTATTTTTATTACCTGAAATGTTTCTCATTCGCTCCTTTCTGATGCATTTCATGTATTTATAGACACTCATTTCTGAAAGCTCTCCTTCCGAATTGGTAAAAATATCATTCTTTTCCAAGCAATTCATTCCAAGCTTTAAATGGGTATTCTTGAATTTCAATTTGTTTTCGTCAAGAACATGCACGTTTAAAAATGGTTTATTCAGGTCATCTTCTACTGTATTTTGTTTGTCAGCATTGTTTTGTTAAATAACTATATTGTTCTGTTGTAGACTCCACAGACAACATGCTCTACATTAAATCGAGAAAGGAAAGGACAGCTTTTTCCAAAGTCCAACTTTGGCTGTTAGAGAAAGAGTTTAAACGCAATAATTATTTATCCAGACTACAAAGATATGAAATCTCCGTAGCTTTGGGTTTATCAGAAAGACAGGTGAGAGCGTTTTCAGTTGCAATTTATTCCTTGTTCCCAGCTAGCCCCTAACTTAATAATCCCGTAAAAAAACTGGGGAAGATACAGATAGTATTCTATATAACTAACCAATTTCATTAGATATAGTTTATCGACGTGATTTTCCTGTTGAAATCGGCAGTTTCTTTTAACCGGTTGCAATTTTTTTAATGGATTTTGTTACGTTTTAGGTGAAAGTTTGGTTCCAAAATCGACGTATGAAGTTGAAAAAAACCGGCTCTTAAACGATTGCGACACCAAAGACAATACATGTTCTATTTGTAGATGTTAATATATAAATATAGATCAGATAAGATAGATGTGTCATTTTTCACATTCGACAAAATATTTTAAGTGCAATAAATATTTTTTTAGTTTGTAAAATTGGTGTTTTTTATTTCGTTTGTTATTATTATTTTTCTCAACTTGGGAATATATTCAATCAATTTGGGTGTTGTATTTTTCAGTTTCTAAGAAAATGTTCTGGGTTTTTAGCGCGTTTTCTGCCTTCTGCGTTTTTTACAGGGTATCTCAAATTAATTGAACCCGATGTTTACGAGGGCGTATCAAATATAAATGGGATTGGTCTGTTTTTTTTTATTTCAGAGAGGTCGTAGAGTTATGTTGGAAAACAACAACTTTACTACCCAGTAGATGTAAGTGAGCTCGATTAAGCATTAAAGATTTGGCAGTAGAAGTAGTGGTTTGTCTCTCTGGAGCAACGGATAATTATAGTTTTTGGTCACGAATTAGCTTATGTATTCTACAAAAGGGCATAATTTTGCGCATTTATGTAGAAAACTTGTATAGTTTTTGTAAATATTGTAAAATAAAACAAAAATAAATTTCAAATCCCGTTTACATTTGATACACCCTCGTAATTTGTATGATATATTTTTTTAAATTCTAGTCTGAACTAATAATAATAATAATTTATTGTGAACAAACGCCAGTTTTTTTAGAAGAACGAAGAAATAAAAAGAAAATGCCTGTAATATTTGTAAGAAAATTTACTTTGAACCAAACTGAACGGTGCTACGGTTTCATTTAAAGCGTAATTAGATAAGACGTAAACATTTGAACCAGAAGACCGAGAGGCATACCAGAAGTTAGAAAGGCAAACCATAGAAAAGGAGAAAAAATGACCTAAAATTTGCAGTCGACATTCGACATTATGCAAATTTCGTGTAAAAGATTCAGACGCTTGGTCAGCTTTTTATGTAAAGTTTATTTGCCACGTTGGCATAAAATGGCTTAACAAATAACGAACAAATAAAAAGGCGATCACATTGAAGTAAATATTTCACTAGTGTGCACAATAAGCGATCAGATTTGTTCCTATGTCAGGGCCATATTTTGCTGAAATCTCTCTTCTTGGCCTCCGAAAAACGCTTCTAAAAGTCGACCGGCCTAAGACTTTGGTCATATCAGTCAGTTAAAAATTATAAAAGGCTTGACAATTAATTTATTTTGATAGAAATTATCGCTTACTGCAAAGTTTGCTGCTAATGTGTGAAATTGGTTAAATAGCACAGAAACGCAATTCATTTTTTTGCGCAAAAGCTGTGAATGCTGCAAGATTTTTCGAGCCCAAAAGGATTAGTGTATCCACTCAAAAAAACCAGCTGATTCCATCAACTACCAAATGAAAAGTTGGTAGTTTCATCGGATCATGAGTCTGCATAGGAACAAATTCACTGCGAGTTTAATGAAAATCCATATATCGCACCATTCTCTCGATCTTGCAAAAATATATTTTTATTGAAAAAATTTAACCATCAATACCAGAGAAGCCAGCCATTTTTTCTCAATAAAATTTAGGTCAGTTCGTCTTCAGTAGGGTCCAGCAGTAGCCCAAATAAGTTTTATGAAAATCGCCCTCTGCGACTTGGATGGCAATGAAACGAGATAATTGTAAAATAATGATGGAATTTATTAACTTCAACCAGACATCAACTACGTTTAAATATTAGAATTTTATGCTAGATTAAGAGATATAAGAGATTAATTTTTAAGATTCTAAGACGATCTTCGATGTTTTCGTCCCATGATCAGCACCAAAACAATGTGGTATTGCAAGTCGCTCATTTTTCTTCTTTATTACAAATTATCAGAGACAGAAAAAATATTCTCGCACAGCAGCATTCAGAAATATGTTTTCCAACAGAAACATAAAGCCAAATAGTTGGAGCCAACCTTTGTAGGCGATATATCTCTAATTTTTCGCGAATAGTTCCACAAGAAACAAAAATCAAAGCCATTTTATGGCAACTTTTTTCCTGTCCATCTGAAAATATTCGTGACTTTTCCTAATGCAACTTTGGCAAATGGAAAAATGCACTTTTACTGTTAATAAGGTGACACTTAAAGTAAGGTAAAAGTGTTGCTACTTTAAGTATTACTATTATTTTTGTCTATATAGATATAGTGAGACCTTTAAATGTTATTTAACCAGGTAATAATTAAGTTACATTGGAACCTTGGTTTGGGTTAAGTTGAAATTTGAGTTATCTTTTACTGAAAAAAAGCATTAAAATTATGTTTAGGATTAATCACTTTTATCGTGTAGTTTTGTATTAATCGTTTTAACCCACTTTCATCCAGGGGCGGATCCA